TTAACGAGAGGCAATATCAGTTTACTTACTACAAAACCTCGGCGAACTGAAGTTTGGAACTTTGATACGCCACCAAGAGCAAGGCTTTGGACTGCTCCTTTAAAGTTAAAAAATTACACATGCTCACCTTTCACCCTTATTCGTTTACACTTTCGGTCTATTATGCGAATCCATCGTCCGGAATCAAAGCGGCAACAAAAAACGAAACACTTATAGCTAAGGAGAGGAGAGATTCATCAAACACCTGTGATGCCAGTCCGTATACGACCCCTCATGACTCTGTACGTCGGTGGAAGAGTAATCGATCAAGACATAAACTGATCACCACGTGGATGACTAGGTCCACAGAAAACGGTTTGTGCAGTCATTTGTTTGCTAATTCGTTATCGCGCCCTAAAGCATGCGTCGTGCTTGTACGGTTAAATGTTGATGACAGTTTATGCAAGTGACATGATATACCACATTATATTTTTCTAGTAAGGTATTATATACTCACGACCCTGCTGCGCTCGATATCATTGATCCAGTGATCAGTCGTGACACCTAGTTACCCGGTTGTGCGCTGGTTACCGTTTTTATGTCCATCTGCGGACCCCAGTAAAAGTTCTAAAGGGTTTAGTGGAGCTTTCCTTTAATTCTGGCGGAAGAAGAGTCTTCAATTTATAGTATGGCGATTGTTGTTAGCAACATTCAGAAATTAGAAAAAGATCGGTAATCACTCGCAAACCAACGTTAAATGCTATTGCAATATCACTTCATCATGCAGTCCGATTTCAATTATTTCAGTCACGCTTGGAGTTTGCTTTTGACCGCCACGAAAAAATTGATTCTGTAAAAAATGGCTATTTAAATTTTATGCATTTTTATCATTGATTTTGACTGCCGTCATAAATTACCATATATTTTATGGAAACCATGCATGAAAAAATTTTCTCTTGTCCTTATTTGATAGTAAATTACGCCTTCATTTAATTGTATTCTTAAAAGAATGGTATCCTTCGGTTTTAAAAAGTTTCTAAATTGCTAAATGATTTTAGAACCCACGGATGCTGTGTTCATCCTCTCTAGGAAAATACCTGCTTGCCTACGGTTTGAGGAAGTGGTTGCATAGTTCGCATATAATTTCGCAATAGACATGGACCATGCTGTATACTTTAGGAGCGGCATTAACAAATTTACGCATGAAATGTATTATGAGTGAACACCGCACGGTCGTAAAAAAACTCAAAATTAGAATGTTTTTGAAAACGAAGAAAACCCTTCCTGTAAGAATAAAATTTGAAGAAGGCGTTATTTGCTATTAAATAAGAACAAAAGAGGATTCTTTCGTGCATGTCTTCCATAAAATATATTTGAATTTATAGAGGCAGTCAAAATGAATGATAAAAATGCAAACTATTTAAGTAGCAATTTTCTACATGATCAGCTTTGTCTCAGCGGTCACAAAGAGGCTTATCACATAGGTGGCAGCCTAGCGTGACTGAAAATAATTGAAATTGCGCTGCATGATAAACAGTCTTGCAACCCTTTTCAATGTTTGTTTTGCGATTGAGTACCGGTCTTTTTCCGATTCCTGAATAAAACTTGCAGCACTCACCATACTGTATTTTTTTACCCGTGCACACTACTGGAATTCAATCAATAGTCTCAATCAATGAACCCTTATATTTTGAGTTTCAAATTTCACGTCAAGCCTTCATGCCATCCAATTATGTGGTATTATTAAATTCTCGCTTTGAAATGTACACATGGTATGCATATTATCCGTTTTTTTGCAACTCTAGCTTCATCTTTTTGACTTTATTAGTATACTGGAATTTTGGGTGTTTGTGTCGTTGCTGAGGCCATTGGACTGGGATACTTCTTCGGAGACCCCAAGGCAGTAAGTTTTAAAGAAAGACGCTCATTTCTGCGTGCTCCCCAATAATCAAAAAGTAACCAAACCTATCAAAAATGTTACTTGATATGTCCCTAGAAAAGTTATGATTGAGGCCGTCAAAAGAGTGTTTTCTAAAAATTTGTATTTGAAGCAGATTGTGTCATACGTGCTCTGTCAATACGTCTGATGGGTACAGCTAAAAAAACTAAAAAAACGGAGTTAACATAAAGGATAGTTTATGCTTCTATTTACTCGTAGTAAGTAAGTTGCTGACAAAGATAGGCATATCATGTTTGGTTGGATTATCAGTGTGCATATTTCCACCGAAACATTTTCGTAAATGTACATACAGCCTGCAAACTATGAGTCCTCTTACTCGCGGAAAGAATTCCAAGTCACTTTCTTCAACAGACGGGCGTATGGCTGGTCATACCGAGGAGTAAAGTTAGTTATTGGCCCCGTACTATTTCACAGTAACTTGCCCACTGAAAAGTGCCATTTCACAAAAATGTTTTGTGATTCATATTACGCACATTATAAAAGGCTAACCGCAGACGTGAGCTAATGTGTGTGATCAGCTTAGAAAGAGGAAATTAATTCATAAGTTCACCTTGAACCACCCCTAGGACGGTGAGTTTCCTTGTCGACACGTGAAACTAATCGAAGAAACCAAATACCCTGAAAATGATGTTGGACACACAACTTAGCCCAGACTGCAGCAGCAAATTTCATATCCCATAGGGCAGAGACCTGGAGTTTTTTTGACTTACACAGCCAAGAAATATACTTTAGGGAGAACCATACATTATATTGCAAAATTAAATTCAACTACATGTCAGTATGATAAGTCCCTAAATTTTATCTGAGAGAGCCAGGTGCAATCATCAAAAGAGCCACAGCTTGCTCGCGAGCAGTACGTTTTCGACCCCTGCAATAGGGGCGAGCTCGCGCCTAAGCAATTATTACATTTAAGACGGTAATTACATTGGAACTTGAATGCACGGAGACCGTTAATAAACCGAACTGAAACCAACCAGTCAGTCCAATGTTTTATTTGTAGAACGGGAATTTAACTACAATTTAAGCTATAGGGTTCCGGAGACATTCCTGCTTCCGATGTTTATGACTTGGGCCTTACTTGCGTTTTTTGTACAAAGCTACCCGCCAAAGTGACAGTCATCATGGAAAAGGCCCTACAAGACTATGGAAAGCCCGAGGTTCAATTAGCCGGCGCCACTTTTGTCTGGGACTATTTGATGACGGTAAGCCAGTCGTACGTTGATGATGTCTCAAAATTCAGCAGTTGCTGTGTATTGTAAAGATTCCTTAATTACTGGTGCATCTCTATGTGAAACCCAATCACACATATAGAGTACATTTTCTGCATTAGGAGAATACTGATCAACACATTATTTTATTATTGCCTTCACGTATAGAGTGACAATGACTACTGCTGTGGATTAGAAGGCTACACAAACTTTACAGGAAAAGGTAAGTAGTAAACACATGTGCAACGTTCGTTCTATGTTGCTCCGATATAAATGCTGAGTCAAAAGGTGATATTACTGTCACATAAATGGTAAAATAACTGTAGTGCTGCATTGACGTAGCGTAATCGATCGATTAAGCAGAAGTGTGAACGCACTACATGCATACAGTTACAGATCGAAGGTTTGCGAAAATTATGTCTGGTAAGTAGAAAATATTTGGCCGCACCTAGCCAAACTCCTTAGTGAACTCAGTGTCTTAAGCTGTCTTGCTGAAAATTCTGTTAAAGTAGCAGACCGTTTGCTTATCAGTAATATTACTGGATACATCGTTAGCCAGCGTGATATTATTAAATGAATTTTCTGCCCCAAATTGTGGCTTTGCAGGCGAATTAAAAAAAAAATGCAATACATAATTATTATGCTACATACTTCCATAAAGTCTTCTCTGACTTCATCCATAAGTGGGTTCCAGATAGCTCAAAAGTCAAATGACAGGACTTTAGTTTGGCACATGCAATATTAAAACCTCCTTATCTCGCTTTCTCTACCCCAACGTGCTCCGAAAAATGAAGAATTGCAGTCAACAATATTGTTAGTTTGGGTGCAATGCCAACCATCAAATATGAATATCCCGATGATATGTACCAACAGTTTAACCATAGACTTCGATTACGC